GTTTGCTTCAAATAATAGCCGGGTTTTTATAACTTCACATTTTATGGCTATAATAACATTCAAAAGAAGTCTAAATCATATAGTCTTCCGATGTATATCTTGGAGCCCATCGAAGGGCTGGATATCTACGACATGTCTAACGATACGGTTGAGCCGGAAATCAAACGGTTTGCCATTGAATTCGCAAAAATGGGCACAAATTCCTGTCTTATCGTCGATTACGGCCAGAATAAGGCTGAGATTGAGGCGTTCGGCGACTCTCGCAACTGTCGCTATTTATACCCCGATGTAAAGTATACTCTGATGGGTAATCTGACCAATCCGTTGGATATATCCAAACAGTACGATAAGCCCAAAGACTATCGGCTCAAGTTCTCGGTGTCCAATCAGATCTCGACAATTTCCCGAGAAGTGACGGTCACTGTTATAGGTTTGTCAACTTTTTTATTTATTTAATAATATTAAATTATTATTTTGATTGATAAGAATTTTTCAAAATAATTACCATAAAGTTTACAAAAAATTGTTTTACAAATGTTTTTTTGATATTAGAATATTTTAAACTTATATGAATTATTTATTTAAAACAATATTTGAAGCAAAGTTTACAATAAATCATTTATAAAGATATTTTAATACTTTACAATATAAAAATATTTTAATAACTTATCAACTGTAATTGATTATTAAAGAAATATAAAGTGATATATAACTTTTTATATTACATACATTATTGGAAAAAGGTTCTTTCGTGTATTTTATTTTAATTAAATAGCAGACAATTAATTAATTATTGCTAAATTATAATTCATAAAACAATGCAATTTTTTTGTTATGATAGAAATCGATTGCAAACCTCCGATACTAAACATCAGGAATCGGGTCGTGAATTGGCGCAGAGGTCTGGAGTTCTGGAAATCAAAGCCAATCCAACTGTTCTCGAAGACGATCGTCGACTGTAACGCCACGACTGCTGTCACTAGAGTTTGGGACGCATACCGGTTGGAGGAGGAGAACGGAACCGTTACGGAACAGATCGACTTGTCTTTGCTCGACTCCTACCGCAAGAGTTTTCTATATGTGCCGCCGTTTTTCCTGCCCGACGGCTACTATATGTTCAGATACTCAATCAATATGACCAGTCCTGAGCCCCACCCACTGCTCCCCTTCTACGCCCACTCCTATACATATGTCAAAGTAGTCCGCAGTCCTATATCCGCGCAGTTGGCTGAAGGCGCTCAGTCTCGGGTCATCCGGGGTTGGGGTCAGAGGTCTGTAATTATAATTAAAATGATTATTCCATATATAAGCCTATCTGCGCTTCTATAGGATCCGTTTCGCACCGGAAGAATTTTCAGTAGATCCGGACGACGCGACCAACAAGAACTTCGAGGTCCGCTGGTTTTGCCGCCGCATTCCCGACGAGTACATTGACAACAGACTGCCCGACGAGAGACAGAACTTTTCGGAACCACTCTATGACCGGACGGGTATTGACGAGGAGTGGGACGACGACGACGGGGGCGGATGTTTCGGACGCGGACCAGGTTTGATGGCAG